AGAGGAAAAAGGTTAAACGGCATAGGAGGTTTACAATGTGCCAGAGGAACAACGATAGTCTTCCCTTTTGGTGGAATGTAACGAGCAAAAGGACGAAATAAACGCGTGGAGAAAAGGAAGGGACGCGTGAGAAATGTTTACCGCTCCTCCGCTCTTTTCGCGTAAACGAAAAATACCACGTACAAACTGGGTAAAAAGGTAAAAAGGATAATATTCTTGAAAAGCGACAGAAGAAAGTGACAAAATTTGAATTTGTACCGAGCGTCGATCGAGGAGCAAGATTTACGAACGTACACGGTAGACAGAGTGATCTCGTAACGATCGATGATGGTCGATCGATCGTCGCTGTCACGATTGTTAACGCGATCGGAGGAGGAGCGTGTTTCATCGAGATAGAATCGCGTCTCTTCCTTTTCGTCGTTTCGTCGGCAGTTTCCACTCGATAGATTCGTACGTAGGTTCCTTTCTTCGCTGGTCCCGTTTCCCCGGTGTCGCTGATCGTCATCCTCCTGTTCTCGCAATACCCAACTCTGCTCCGGTATATTAAATTTATCTTTCAAAGTATTCGCGGACAATCGACGATCGCGCAAATGTTTCGTTTTCTCGTTGCTCTCGCTGCTTTCGTCGTCCAGGTTGTATTTGTCGTACGGGAACAGTTTCGTTTTCTTTGCAGCCTTTCCGTTCTCGAAGGCGTCGAAATTGTAATTGTAATTGTAATTCGAGTCAGCGATATTTCCGCGGTCGTTACGCGTCGCGTGATCGCAAAGGGAACGAAGCATTTCATCGGCACCGTTCGTTCTGTCACCGAGAGACGAGTATCTTTTCACGCGATCGTTGAAGGTGCCGGACCAATGATACTTTTGCGCTCTCTTCCTGCCGGCGACCGACCGTTTCAATTTTTGCGCGCGATTCATCGACCAAGCAAAATTTCTTTCCGTCACAGTGTTTGCACACGAACCGTTTTTTCTCGAAACATTTTCAACGCACGATACCCGTGGATCGATACCGCCCACGTTCGTCGCGACGCGTGTCGTTCGAGAGACGTTCAACGATTCGTAGTCGCTATCGCACGAACTATCGTAATTTATACGTTCCATCTCCTCCTTCCAAGGAGATTTAAACGATTTCTTTGTCGTCGTATCAACGGTTCCAGTTATATTCGACCATGCGTCGCTATCCGAAGCGATCTCGTTAACGTTGTTTAGTGGCACGGTCACCATCGTCGTTGTCGCTGTCGTTGTCCTCTTGTCCTCTAAGTTCCGTTCTAACGGGTAGCTTGCCCTTGCCCTTGCCCTTGCCCTTGCCCTTGCCCTTGCCTTATCTCTACCGCGTGAATCTGTTGCAAAATTCCATATACACAATAACGCTCGATGACCCACGCTATTTTCGCTTCTCGTTTCACCGCGTTAGATTTCGTCGCGGGGAACGAGATGGATTTTGTTCCATTTAAATCCATTTAAATGCGTCTCTTTTCCTTAACATTCCGCACAAACGAACAAACGAACGAACGAACGAACGAACGAACGAACGAACGAACGAACGAACGTACGAACGAACGAACGAACGAGGTAGACCGAAAACAAAGGTAATAGTAATCCGATTCGTCTTATCGTATTTTCAACAGACAGACACGACCAGGCGAATAGGCTCGCGCTATCGACGAGTCATCGAAAGATCCGTTAAGGAATTAGCGGGGACATAAAAATAAAAAAAAAAGTGTGGAATAAAGCAAAGCGAGGTAAGAAACGAGAGGAAAAAAAAATGGGGGAAAAAAAAAGAAAAAAAAAAAAATGAAAAAAAAGAAAAAAAACGAAAATTTACGAACGAAAGGAGAGAAAAGATCGAACCGTTTGAAAAAGAAGAAGACGAACGAGTACGGAGGAACGATTTAAGTACGCATGCAAGAGAAAAGAAACATTTGTACGTTGGAACAAGAGGCACAAGTCGAAAAATTCTCGATATACGAACGAAACGGGAAAACAAGAAACGTATGCACGGTCGGTTACGAGTGCATACGCGTGTACGTAGATACGTGTGTGCGTGCGTGCATGCGAGCGTGCGTGCGCGCATAGGGGAGAGCGAAGAGATACGCTCGAATAAAAGGGTTCAGAATCAATTGGCAGATACGGAATAATACCGATAAAGGATTTCTTACCTTCTTGGTCATAATCTACTTCGTGAGTCGCACTAAACACGTTATGCGCGTCATTGAGAAATTTGGTCGTATGATCCATGACCACTTTGTGCGTATCTAAGACTTCCTCTTCCAACATTTGCAACGCGGATACCGCTTCGTGGAACGTGTAAAGATCTTGTGAAATCTCGCCTTCCTGTCGATGGAAAAGTATCAGCGACATAAACGGTAAAGTCGCAAGGTGACTCTCGGAGGAGAGTTTTTAGTTTTTAAAAATAGCCGTCGTATTACCGGATGCGATGGAGAAAACTGTACGTTTCGACTTACGTTCAGCGATCGAAGCTGCGCCAAATCGCTGTCCGATAACACGCTGTTATTCGACTGTTCCTCTATTTTTAATTCCCGCTCGTCGTCCGTCGGGGAAACTTTTACTTCCGTTGGGTCAGTCGCGGCCAGCTCCTTCACTCGGTCCGCGTATCTGAGAGTGTTCAACGAATGTTCGCAGGAATACATTCCGGGGCTGATCATTGCTATCTGTGAACGAAAGAAAGACGCGGTAACGCGCGATTCGTCGAACACGGCGTCGAATGGAGCGTGAAATGGCGCGGATATCGCGAGTAACGGAGAAATATCGTTACCATGCAGGTCTTTGATTTTTCACCGATGAAGCTGTCCCTCAATACTTGCGTCAACTTGCTCGCCCTGAATGGCAAATGCGTGCCTTTGCGACTCAACGCGCGAATACATTCTTTCAGTGCCAACAGCGATTTGTTGATCTCTGCACCTTCCATTCCTGCAAAGAACGCGTATCCGACAAATTTATAACGCGCCTGAGATGGATTCCACTTATCGAGGTAATAGAAAATTTACGAGTTTGTCTGTTGGCGGAAGACGTATCTGCTCCTCTTTCGTTGCCAGCAAGGTCGATAAGGGAAAATTTTCCGTGGACCTTGTGCGTGCCCGGTGTTCGTGCAATGATTTGAAAGACCGCGTGCGACCGCGAGGAATTGGAATTTGCACTGGTTTGTCCGCTGGTTCTGGCACTGTTCCCGTGCTGTATCAGTTTCAATACTTCGTCGCAAGTTTCTACCATCTTCTCCGTCAGTCCGACTATTTGCACCTATGGAAAGAAAGAATGAAACGGGTTAAAGGGCGAAGAGGGAGGGGGGGGGGGGGGGAAAGGGGGGGGAGAAGTTTCTCTTTGTTTGCCAGCAGATCGAAAACCTTGCCGGAGTAAATTTCGAAGAAACTGGCTGATATCACGAGATTCAACGGCCGATACTTCTCCAATTTGATGCATTTGAACACGTCTTTGGCAACCATCGCGTATATGCCCTTTTTGTAATCCTGCGTTTTCCCGTTAAAGTCGCCACCCATGGTGTGCGTTTTTCCGCTTCCCGTTTGACCGTAAGCGAAACACGTGGCCATTCCACCTTCGAAAATAGTCTGCACCAGAGGTTTGGCGGTGTATTTGTAAACTATCTCGTTGTTGCAAGTTTCGTCGAACGCGTAATCGAATCGAAAGATTTGGTTCTCCAAGTATTTGGTTAGATCGACTTTGGCTTTCGGCTCGTGAACCACTATCTGATCTTTGCTAGGCACCGTGATCACGTCTACCTCCTTGCGCGCTATCTCCTTCTTGTTCAACGGACGTTTTCTAACGCACACCGTGATCTGGTGGTCTTCCACGGCATCCGTTTCTCGAAGCGGCCTGAACTCTATGCTGCTTTGGTACTCCCTGTGCAAACGAGAACAGCGGTATTCAGCGTCGGTGATACGAAGGAAAGAACGAAAGACGACAGTGAGGTAAGGAACTGACCTTATCATAGCGAGGAACTCCCAATTCGGATTACCGGGATCTAAATTCATGAGAGCCTCCTTCTCCTCTTTCAACTCGGCTTGCCTTTGTCTTCTCTCTTCTCGGTTCTTCTTCAGCCTCTCGACCTCTTTTACCACGTTCGACCGCCTTCCTCTACCGTTCTCTACCTGAACCTGTTGTTGCTGTTGTTGTTGTTGTTGTTGTTGTTGCTGCTGCTGCTGCTGTTGCTGCTGCTGCTGCGACTGTAGCTGCTGTTGTTGCTTTTGCTTGGCCTGCGCTACCGAGGTGACATTGACGATAGCGGGCGTAGCCGTAGGTGTCGGTGGTATGTTCTCCACCTCTCGGCGCGCCGTGAACGCAGGCAATGTCCCGGAGAGACCGTTTACGGTGCTACCGGATGGCATTATATTGGTTGGCCGTCCAGCCTGTCGGGACGTTTGTTTGCTGGAACCCGCTGCAAAGTACACATCAGTCGCGAGATCTGACCGAGATTCGAGAGATGGCTGTTAAACGAACGTGCCGCGAAATAGACACGCGCGGTCTCAGCCTACGAGGCGAACCGACTCGCGAACGAACAAACACCCAACCGATTCGAACGCGACCATGTAGCAAGGGAATCGCGTGGTTACCATGTTCCGAGACCTGCTCCGAGACCTGCTCCGAGAGGGCTCGAACCCATTCGTCGATCTTCCCATCCTCGACGTCGTCGATCTTATTTTTTCTTCCGAAACAGTAGCCCAATGGATCGAATCTCATGGCGACGATCGAAGGATAGAAACAGCAATCCAAGTTCGAGAAAAATTGCGAAACAAATAGGGGGAGAGGAAGAGTAGTGCTAGGCGGAGGGGGTGGGGGAGGGAGAGAGGGAGAGGGAATATGAAAGAAAGAGAGAAAGTAGATAGGAGAAAAGTTGGGAAAGAGACGGAGGTTGGGAGCGCGCGGTGTTACGGTTGCTCTCCGTTGGTTTACTACGTCGCGCACCGTCTGTCGAGGTCCTTGCCCTTGCATGCCTTTGCATACGGCGCAAGAGCGTACGGCGCACCACCCTGGTGGTGCTTCTCTGACACGCGCTCTGACACCGTTACCGCGTGTATTTACGACACATTCGCCGTCACTTGGAAAATCGATTGGTGGTTGGCCCAGCAAGTAAGCGAACGACCAAACGATCGCGATACGATGAGACGCATGAACGTTCCTTCGATCGCTACCGATCCTCGAGATAACCTTTCCATTCGCGATTCCAACGCGATCGATCGGAACACGGTAAATATATACGAGTCTGGTTGCTGTTTCGCGAGAACGTCCATGGATATTTCAAGGGTGGATCGTACACGTATGTAACGTGTGCCTGCGTATCGACGTACCTTTCACTGGAATCGATGGCTTGGTTGAATGCTGAAAAAGAAACAAAAAGCATATCGTAACGTTGTGGAGCAACATGGCTATAATATAGTTATATTACAGTTATTCGAGTAATAGTAAAGCTTAGCGTCCTGTAAATTCGATGCGGTGCTTCGAAATAAATAATAAACGAACGAACAAATAAATAAATAAACGAGCAACGAGAAATAACGGAGTACTCGATAACGTTCATACGACAGCCAAGTGTACGATACATCGACTACGAGACACATGGATCGGGAAATAGCGAAAAATCAAGAAATTTGAAACCGAGAAGACGAACGTGGTGATCGAGCGGTGGATGATGCTTTGGCCAAGAGAATACCGTATGTACAACGATGGAAATGGAAGAAATGGAAGAAAAGAAGATGAAAAAGGAAAAAGAGGATAAAAATAGTAGGAAAAAGCGAAACGCGTGGACACGTTCGCATCGAGGATGCAATTTCGTTTAAACGGGTATGGTGGAAAGTTCGCAGGAACGAAGAAAAAGTACGATGAATCGGGAAAACGATACGGAAAAGCGTGCAAACGAAGAGCGGCGAGAAAAAGGAAAAAAAAAAGAAAAAAAGAAAAAAGAGAAAGAAGAAAAGAAAAGGTTTCAGCCGGGAAGGAAGAATGAGAAGAAAGAAAGAAAGGAAAAATGCGACGGAGAAAGAAAGGAGCGTTTCCATGCCGTAACGTTCTTCCTTGTTTTTCTTTGCGCGATAAGTCGCGCGTTCGTTGAACAATAGCGGGGGGCACGATTTATCGAGAGCGATCGATCCTCGGAACGTGGCAGAGTGGCAATGCAGAAAGGTGTAAGAAGAAGAAGAAGAAGAAACGGTGAGAGAAGAAAAAGACCGAGGAGGTTACCGAGAGGAGGTGTAGGATGGAAAAAAGATGGAAAAAAGATGGAAAAAAGATGAGGACGTGTGCGTGTGTGTAGGTGTGCGTACGTGTGCGAGCGAGTGTTGATTAAAAGGAGGACGAAATACGAAGGATGGGGGGTGGGAGAAAAGAAGCGTGGGTTCGGCACGTTTACCGAAAGAGCAGTAACGACTCGTACAGGAAGCGTTGCGGATGCAAGGCCGTTTCTTGCGGTATGACCGCCATCGTGTCGTCCAAGGGAGCCTTCCTCATGGTTTTCCGACTCGTCCTCCTTGCCCGAAGAATCCTTCGTTTCGGTTCGAATTTTATCGCGCACGATCGAGGTCACGGACCGATCATCCTCGAGGTTCCGCTTTCGGTTACGAAAGGCCGAGGCTCGCGACGCGAACGCGAATATCCGCGATTCGAATCGAACGATCGAATAAATGGCGAGGGGGGAATCGATGAGCCGATACTCGACGAAAAGAGGCGCCCAGGCATAGATGGCGAACACGGGGAACGATGAGACGACGATGGGACGACGATGGGACGACGATGGGACGACGATGAGACGACGAGATGAGACAACGATGCGAGGTCGTATTAGGATTCGATCGGTTTTTGGACGGGACCCCGAGATCGGTGATTATCCATCGCAGGTCCAAATCCGTGATAATGAGCAGCGTCCATGGAGGAAAAAAGATGTAATCGTGTTAGTAGCAGGAACGATGAGAAGCGACGTTAATCGTGGTCGCTCGATCGGTGATGACCTATTTGGCGCCGAGCTACGCCAAAAGAACGCAATACGCTCGTCGTTTCACCGAAAGAACGAACGCGGATGACAGGTTGCATGAGAGAACTACGTATACGCTAGTTGCAGGAATTCGTGTAAAAAGCTGTTAGATTCGATAAACGAAAAATGCAGCTTACGGAAAAAAAACAAGGTCGAGTATCGAAGGAAATAGTCGATCGAGCTCGAAACAGAAGCTCGGTGTTACTCTCTTCTTTTTCTTTTTTCCTTTTTCACCCGGTTTACCCATTCGTTCTCGTCCACGATCGTCGCGCGCCGTTCGAAAGGGAACGAACGAGCGACCGAACACGATCGACCGAGCGATAAATACCATTACCTTTGACATGTAACTTCTCCATGGTGGTTCCATGATGAATTCGGGATTCATGTCGGCGATCGCGTCCATCTCCACCTAAAAACCAGACGGACAACGTTATAGCTTTCTCGCGTTCCTTTTCGTCCGACTCTTCGAGCAAACATTTCGCGGACTACCTCTTTTCCCTTGGTCTCTCCGTTCTCCACCCATTCTACGGTGAGGGTGCGGTGTAACCAACTAATGCCGCAAACGATCGCCGAGTGGATACGACCTGAAACAAATACGAATTTCACCCATGTACACACACACGCGTGTAGTTTAGTTTGTCGATAGAAATATCGAAATCGTTGTTTCGCTTTCGCCTTCGCCTTCGCCTTCGCCTTCGCCTTCGGGGACAGTTGGCAACGCGTAATCGTCTCGAATCTTCTTACCTAATACCGAGCCTAAATTGGATCGTTGGTTCTAGAGCTGAAAGAAACGCGAATTCCTCGAGAGGATACTCGACGCGCGTCGTTTACTTTTTCCGCAGAATCCTCGATAAAAGAAAAATCGCACGAAAGACGTCGCGGACTTGGATTATTTTCCTCGCAAATTCTCCGCCCTCGTCCATTTCGGCCGAGTATTCGAACGCGCGTGCGCGAGTAATCTCGAGATTTAAACGCGAATTATTGGTATCGAGGACGAAAGAAATCGTAGGAAATTCACCGACGGGAAGCAACTATGCGACACCTATAGGTGGTAGGTCGAAAAGACTCGGCAGTCGCGTCGAGTCGCGACCAAGTCGCGTTTCCACTTTGGACGACATTGTTATTCGCCCCTGGGACGAAGGTTGGCCGGTTCGGTAGCTATCGTGGTCGTGGTCGTGGTCGTTGGATCGAAGACGCGGCGCGTCCGATACCCAAAGCCGTGAGAGGGAACTGGGTGACGTAAGAGCGAATAAAAGGTAAGGTAAGGTAAGGTAAGGATCGACGAGGTAAGAATCTCGCGACGAGCGTCCTTATAAGGATGCAGCGCCCACGTGCGCCATTCGCAGCAAAGCGTCGTGGCGCCCCGTCACGAGTCCACCACGCGCGCGTTCTACGCGCTTTCCATTTCCATTTCCATTTCGTTCTCCATTTCGTCGCTTCGAACAATGCCGACGCGTTTCTTTCCGATTCCGGCAATGGGTTCGAGGCGAGTGTCGCGAAGAACGGTGGGCAACGGAACGAAGGAAACGACACTCGTCGACGAACGGAGCGCGATATGCGCGACTTGGCCACTTGTTGCGTCGCCATGCTGCTACGCGTTGCGTTTCATCCACAAACACGCATCGCGCGTATCCGTTCCTCGCGATCTCGCGCGAATTCCGGGCGGCGCGGCGCGGAGCGGAGCGGAACGGTGCGGCACGACCACGCGAACACGATCGTTCTGGCAAGCGCGAGACTCCCTTACGTCCGACTCGTTACGGCTCGTGTTTATCTTTGGATCGCGACGAGATCTCGACGGGTGATCGGATTCTCTCGGCAATCGGCAAATCGCGTTAGAATCCTGGCGAATCGCGGATCGAAGGTTCTCTTGTCGTTGCGTGCTTGTACGCGTATTCCTATTTATATGGACGGGTGCAGGCTATAAATATTATTACCGTGTCCGAGATTGGGTCACCGATCCGCTTTCTTCCTGCAACCGTACGGGCGCTTTTCCAACTCTACCGCCGCTCTCTAGACCAACCACGAGGACCATTCGATCGTTCCGGAATCTCTCTCTCTCTCTCTCTCTCTCTCTCTCGCTCGCTCTCTTCCCGATCGAACGTAACGAGAAACGATCGACAATCATGGAAGGCAGATCGTGCGCAAACAGCGTCTGAGAGCGCGATCGCTGCTACTCGGCTAACCGACTCTCCTTTCTTGGCGAATGCTCTGACTCATTCGTCCAGAGAGAGCGCGAGTAAATAAAATTGCGCGTGGTTGGATTCGCGCGGAGCATCCGTCTGTTCCTCTGATTTCTTGGCCGGATTTTTCAAAGGAGGAGAAGGAGATAAGAAAGGGACGATCGGCGAGAAAGAAGCGCGATAGAATGGCGGTTGAAGAATTGCTAGGGCCGCGTAAGATTCAGAGCGCGTAAGAGGAACGCGATTAATGACTCGAAGGAGGTGTCGGTGGCGGCAGCTCTCGTTCTAGTCTCGCTGCACGCGTCGAGCACGAGAAGCCCGCGAGGTGAAAGGATATCCGTTCATCTTCCAGCTGAATCGTTAGTAGCCAACGGCATTTGTTATTGTACGCCAAGTAAAAACACCAGCGCCAACTAAAAGAAACGTATACCGTCGTGTGCTCTACCGGCTAGATTAACAGCAAACTTTTCCACCAGTCTACGGAATATTATTCTCGGTCGATGTACGCGTACTCGGGTCGAGTTTGAAAAAGAAAGAAAACAAATATGGCGTGAAGAGGTTAGCAGTCGAGATGCAAGGGCAAGTATTTCTACGCGACTCGCGTAAAAGTATATAACGCGTACGTGTATCTCCTCTACGTATTTCCTCGGTTCTTCGCACTTATCGCGATATCAGCCCATGCCCCGATTATTCTTCGTCGTACTCGAGATAGAACGCGATAAGTTTACGCGACGCGTGCAATGGGTGCATGGTCGACAGGGGTAGTAGGTCGTTCCGTTTCTTCCATTCCCTCTATGCTCCGATAGTTCGATTATCGCGAGAGGGCGGCCGATCGTGGAACGCGTATCGGGCACGTTCGCCGATGCACTAATAATTTGATCGATCGTTGAGTGTCCAGACGCGAATCGGTACGAACCGGTGAAAATGAAAATACGCGAATGTCGTATCGCGTCGTTGCGGTGCGATGTCGTGTCGTATCGTGTCGTATCGTGTCGTGTCGTGTCGCGTCGCGTCGTGTCGCGTCGTGTCGCGAAAACGGTTACGCCACTACGACACTACGCGATGGAAGCAGCTGCCGAGCTCGATCCGTATTCGTCGATATGAAAACGAGGGAAAAGGGAGTAAACGGGGAGAGAAAGAGAAAAATAGCTAGCTGAAACGTCGACGCGAGTACGTCTCGTTGCAATAGTGTTCGATTTTCCTCGAGACTAGTCGCCAGGCTTTGCGCACGCGATCGGCTACCCGAAATCGTCTAAAAATACATCCACGAGATACGTTACTCACCGTTTGTCCTCTTGATATATACTTTGTTGCCGGTATCGATGCTAAACCTGTTGTCGTCCATGGTCACTTAGTCGCGTTCTCACGCCGTAGTTGCTACACCGTAAAACGGCCGGTTTTTCACCAGATCGAACACGATGACGATACGACGCAACGTTGACGATGTTTATGCGTCGAAAATGTAGCGATAGATACCGGAGAAGCCTTACGGGAACCGTGCAGTTCGCGAGACTTCCGAATCCGACCGTTGACAGTTACGGCTGCGTTCGCATTCAAAATCACGCGGCTGTACTGCCTTCCTCTCCACCGTCGTGCTTGTACTTTTCCCTTCCCTTCCCTTCCCGTCGCCGTCGCCGTCACCGTCACCGTCACCGTCACCGTCACCGTTGCTGTTTCTGCTGCTGCTGGTTCCTGCTGCTGCTGCTGCTGCTGCTGCTGCTACTACTGTTACTGCTGTTCTGCTCTATTTTTCCTCTGCGTCGTCGTCGTTGTCGTCGTCGTCGTCGTCGCCGCCGTCGTTTCCCTGCTGCTGTCGTCGTTTCTCTGCTGTTCTCGTCGTTGCTGCTCGTACTTCTACACGTCGCGATGTTAACCGCGGTCACAGCTTCGCCGTCGCGTTGTTCACCACCTCTTGCCGTTGTGTATTTTCACGTCAGGGACGTCGCCGATCGTCCAAGGCACGCCCGTTTCGCGAATTCTCGTTAAAACGGTACGTCGTGTAACCCACGCGACAGCACACTCTCTTCCACGAATTTGAAAGTACGCCAAAACGAAGACACGACGATTCGAAATTACATTCGGAGATTCGTTGAATTTCACGAACGAGATGTTTCCGGGATTTTGTGCCGGGATACTGCCAGTGTCCGTTATTGACAACGGAAAGACTGCGAGCGCCAACTTTCGGTCGACCGCTACCGCCGCGACATCTGTTACTGTGCGCGATTCCTCGACTCTACCAGCTGCATCGTCCTCCCATCTATTGGCCGTTTCAGCCATTGCCGGCCATCTTCTCGCCAGGCCAAGCTACTCCCAGTATATTCGAATGCGACCAGGCGAGATAAAACGAGATACGGGCGTAAAAAAATTTCGAATAAATTATCTATCGAATATCGTAAAGATCGAAACGTTTCAATAACTACTGCAAATTTCTATATTTTATTGCTACTTTAATACGAAAATATTTTATTTCCTTTATTTCTCGTACAACGATATAAACATTGTTCGATGTATCGATTTATCGATTTATCGATTCACCTTTATCGTAACAGAGGATCGTTTACCGTATCGTTTGCGTTTAATCGAACACGGCTTATAACGGAAACACGGATTGTCGGACCAACTTCTTCAATTCGTTCGAATCGAGTTGATTGCTGCTCGTCGTTTCGAGCAGATCTGCGATCGCTTTAAATCTGAAAACCGACTGGTTGTTAACGATGTGTATCGTGCGTGCAAATATTACGCGCTACTACGATTATTTTACCTGTCTAGTCGAGGATAGATACTCGGTGGTAAATCGTGTTGTTTCATCTTCTCGAACGTCTGTAAACGATGAAATCGTAACGTTGCAACTTTCCTACAATGTTAAACGTTACTCGAGCATTACCTCTAAACCGCGTTTCACCACGTTTTCCTCCAATTCCGCCATTCTCGCTACGTAATGTGCTAAACTGCGCGTAGTACTGCCGTTGATTAGACGGTAGAGAAAGGCCAACGATTCGTCTTCGTCGATCGTGTATTCGAATGTCTATAGGATAGAAGAGAAAAAGAGAAGCCGGCAAAGTGAAAGGGGAAAAGGGGACGGGATAAAGATGAGGCGATAGTCTTCTTACGGACAAAGGTTGACAGAGATAGTCTTACTTGTGTCTCGATGAGGGGAGTTTCGGGAGGGAGCAGCGTTAATACGCTGTACGCGTGAGTCGCGACAAATACGTGAGGACAATCCGAACCCCTTTCGGCGAATGTGTTCAGCACGGCTGCGATTAGCGACAATCCGCTAACTTCGGACGTTCCTCTGTCCAATTCGTCCGATATCACGAGCGAATCCGGCATGGATGCGCGTAGGGCTACGTTTATCTGAAACGCAAACTCGTTTTCACTCGTATCTCGTAATCGCGATCTCGAATCACCTACCTGACGCAAATTTTGCAGAAACGAGCTCGCGTTCAGTCCGATACTTTCCGTGTTCGACATTTGAGTCAATATCCGGGAAACTGTACCTACCGTGGCGAATTTTGCAGGAACGTAACAACCTACGTGAACCATAAACACTATGAGTCCGATCTGTTTCAGGTAGACGCTTTTGCCGCAAGAATTCGGTCCTGTTACAACTTTGATCAAGCTCTGGCCGTTCCCGGAACGTATATCGTTCGGCACAAACGTGGTCGCGCATTCCATCAACGGGTGCCGTCCTTCGATCACGTCTATGATCTTTGACTCGGTTACGTATGGCCTGGTGTAATTGTAATCACGCGCCACTTTGGAGAACGCCAGAAGACTGCGATGATCATCGATTATCACGCCTGTTAACCACCTTTTCTTTTTTCTCTCGTCAACGTTACCATTACGAATACCTACGTGTCTAGTTCGGCGCAGAGTTGAATCGTACGTAAAATCGTTCCGGTATGCTTCTTTATGTATCGTATTAATTTTTGCACGATATGATTTTGTCGAACGGCTATTTTCAATATAATGTCACCCACGGTTTCGTCTAGCTCTGAAATACCGATCGGATGAAGATAACGTACGAGGAAGAAAACGACAGCGGGACAACGGGACAACGGGACAACGGGACAACGGGACAACGTTACCGACCTCTCGCCGAAGAGCTTTTGTAATAATGCACTTGGTTGATGCTGAATTTGAATTCCAAACCTGGAAAGGTCTCGTCCTCGGGTGGAGTCGGGTTCCATTTGTTTATCGCTAATACGTAGCCGATATTTGGCAAATACAGCATGTTACAACCCGTAACGGAAGGCGGAAGATGTTCTCGCATGTCTTTCTCACCCATTCGCGTCAACAATTCCGGCAAAGTGCGTCGCACGTGATTCACTGTCGATAGAAAAATCGCATTACTCCTCGGATTACTACTCGGAATTAGCAAGACGGGAAAAGGTCGCAACGCGAGAAAGACCTTGGCACGTACGTTCGTCCAACAAAGGGTCGACGTTTGGTTTAATCACGAGCTTCCTTTCGCGTCTGCTCTCGTTAAAATCTACTATGTACTCGATGAAATACTTGATGTATTGAATCTCGGTCGTGACGCTTTCGGCGATTTGTTTGAACAGTAGCATCTTTTCCGCGTATTCTCCGCATATGTCAGCGATGCAAATTACGTGCGAAATGGTCTGGAAGGAAGGAGAAAGAAAGATGGAATCGCAACGAGATGCAACGAACGTACTGTTGGAGTAATAATAGTAATATCGTGGAGTTGCGACAGCGTGATTATTCTTAGCAATGATTCTGGAAGAGACGAAAGGAATAAAAACGAAGAATTCGACCTTGTGCAGTTTGTGCCAATGCGACGGTTTTGCTTGCGGTCCGGAACAACAGGCGAGTACGGTGTTGGTCAAACGGTACACCTGCCTCAAGCAGGTCGATAGATTTTCCTCGACACTTTGATTGTTCGTATCGAGAAAAAATTCGATCGTGTTTAATCGTTGCTCGAGCACAGCGAGGTTTCGCGTTGGATGATGCAACGTTTTCCTGCAGATACAAATGCAAACGAGTAACGAATAAGAATGAAATATTTCGACGATCGATCGTTTTATCATATTTACCATAGAAACTGAACTCCTGGTCTAGAATGGCAGTAACGATTCATTAGCGAGAATAGGCTCACTCCCCTTGTCGTCGTGATCGTTTTGCCAAATTTGAAAAGGCTCGGATGATCCTTGGACGAAACGATGTTTAACGCTTTGTAAGTATCCTCGTCCACCATGACCAAATCTTGGCTACATTGGATAAAGACGCGATCTTAAGATACGCGTACGCGGCGAGTAACGTGGAGTAGGGCAAAAGAGTGATTCGGACTTACAGGTTAAGGTAATTTAGCGATACGAAAGATGGTTTCCCGGACGGATCCAATGCGATGTTGTTCCAATTTTTATCGATGAACAACAGCAGAGAACCCAACGCGTGAATCATCGCGCAGCATTTGAAATTCAGTATACTATTCAAAAATGTCAACCTGTTCACGTTGGTGATGTTCTTTGGCTCGTAGTCGAGTCGAAGACATCTCACTCGATGAGAGCATCGTTCGTAGTTGAGCTCCTTTTTGCAAATTATTTTCAACTCTGCGTTATACACGCTTTCGCGCGAATCGAACGAATTTGTTCCTCCATTCGTTGCCTCTGTCAATATCCTCTTTACGGCGTTGGAAAAAGAAGCTGGTGCCGCAGCGCTTATAAGCACGTAACGCGGTAAGCATTGTTTGTACAGAGCTCTGGCCACGTCGAAACGTTCAACGTCGTCCACCGTGTCTTCTAGGACGAATAATTCGGACGTAACGATATTATAGTAAGCGGCACCGAGACGATTGTTGCACCAAATCATCGTCAAGATTATCTACAGAAAGAAACGCGGACAATTTTAGACGCGGGACTTGGATGGTATAACCGAGAAAATTGATGCAATGAAGAATGTATAACCTCGTCTGTGCTCTCGAAAATGGCTGCGTCGGGTAGCTCGAAATCGGTCGAGCCTTTACCGCTTTTCGCTCGCGATATCGACGCGTGCTTACCGACTAACGCTTCTGTTTCTTCGTCGCTGCTTTCCGACATCAGCGACTCGAATTCGCAGCGTCTATGGGAAAGCAAAATGGAAGAAGAAAAGAGAGGGATAAAAGGTAGATAAAAAAGCATCGAGTATACGTACACTAGGGCACCGGATGGCGCGGTTCTATGAATTTTGGATAGCGTACTCGAGGAAGAAGCCGTTACGGATAGACGGTTCGTTTCGATGTCACTGGGTCGTTCCATTTTATCGGAATAATTCGTGGGTGAAACGTGGACGAATCCGATTAACGTAGAACGGTACGGTTCACTGTCACGGTTCGCTGTGCACGGTGCGCATGCGCGACTAATTGGCAAAGATTCGAATTCAAGCGGGCTATACGGAACGCACGCGAGTACAATGGTAAATGTCGGAATTAAAAACCGCGTTGTAACAAGGTGTCGTTTTATTCAATTATGTTACATATATACACCGTGTTATATACATAATAACAATGCTTAGTATCGATACGTACTATTTTCAAAAACGATTGAGTAAAAAGAAAAGAAAAAAATAGAAAAAAAAAAAAATAGAAAAAAGAAGAAAAACGTAGAAAGGGGAAATGCGAATTTAGTGGAAACGATCATGTTGGAATGGGCGGAGGTGGACGAGGATTAAAAGAAATCGGCCTATACGTTTTCCGTTTCGTGAACGGTTGTACTCCGCTTAGTATAAAATCGTGGATCGGATTCCTCGGATGTTTCGTTGGTTCCACCGGCAGCGGCAAATCTTCTTCCGACGTTGCTGCTTCCTCGCTTCGCGCTGGACTACTGGACCTGCTCAACGTTTGTTCGCTGTTTGTCTTCGTTCCATTTGTCTCGCTGTTCGCTGTTTCTCACGTGTTTACCGAAACGACGGAAAGATTCGAGCGATTCGACGATTCCCGCGTGTTTGCCGGCATAACGCGAAAACGTTCCGTGGTATCGAATCGTCGAGTCGCTGGATTCTACCGTCGCGGATCCATGCACGATTAGCTTAGCTTTAACGAAGCGTTGTTAGATGACTAGAGGCGTTAGGATTATTTCTACGTCATGCCCGGCTTAAAATCTGCACGAAAGAAAAGAAGGTGGAAGAATCGAAACGGTTAGCGATCGTGCGGCTGGAGAACACGAATGAAGCGTAAACAGAGAACGAGCAACGGATAGCGTACACAGAGGACGAAGACGTTCCGCTACGTTTCTCTATGGATCGTAGGATCCATGGATCGTGGATAGTCGGCGTATACCGTACGCTAACGGAATACGCGTATCGAGACGTAGACGCATCGGAAGTCGATCGAGCGAGAACGATTGGAGATGTGGCGATTTAGGGGGAAGAAAATGCGACGCGAAATGGACGAACGACGATCGATTCTCTTCTCTCCACGGCACGAATAGGCTTTTACGCTTTCGACAAGTCGAGTGAACGACGCATTGCTCGATCGAAGAACCGAGGTTCCGGTCGGCCGGCCGGCCAGCCAGCAAACCTACCTAAGTCGTTGAGGTTTGCTCTTGATTCCGTTTTGCCTGGAATGTGGCCTCGTGTTCGGTTGCGAGAGTTCGCTGTCGCTGCTCGCGAACGAGGTTCTGGTTACCACCACCGTGCCGTGGGCGAAATCTTTCCTGCGAAGAGAATAAAATTGCAATCGGTTGGAAGAGAAATGAACGAGGAGAAAAGGGATGGCGAGATACGCGGTTACCTGTAGTTGTCCGACTTTGGAGTGGAGTTGGACGTTGTCGGTTTTCCGGTAGGATGAACGATGTTCGCATCGACGAAAACGGGTGAACTTTTGGGAATATCGCAAACGATCTTCGGATGAACGGTGGTTTGTCTGTAATCTAAATGATTGGAAGTATCCGGTGGCCAGTCGTAGTACTTGGGTCGGTAGCCTTTTCGTTCGACGCGAGACTGTTTGGTGGAATCGGTGTCGCCGGTAGTGGCACGTTTACCAGGTGCGACGGTGGAGGAGTTTGCAGCTGGTAACGAAGTCGGAGAGGATGCGGTGGATGAGGGCGCACCGTCCGGATCAGCCCGGGACAACTGTGAACCATCCCAGTCGGGGGTTGGCAGGCTACTGTAATAACGAACGATCTCGAGATATCGAGTTGTAACGCGCGAGTATACCGAGAACGCTGGATATTCTCGATTGTCGATATAGAATGTGGCCCGGTCGATCTGTTCGGTCGGCCGTCAGATCGTTCAATGGATCGGTGAAAAAGTCGAATCGGTCACAGCCATACTTACTTGAAACTCTCCTCCATTTCCTTGAACAGGCGCAACTGTTGCCTGATATTCGCCTTCTCTTTCGCGCGTTTTCGCTGAAACTCTTCCTCCACTTTACGCATCGCCTCGAGTTCACCTCGCCTTTGACGCTCCTTCGCTTCGACCTCCCTCGATAGTTTCTCGGCTAGTCGCCGTCTCTCTATTTGCCTGACCGTCGACTGAAAGGTGAACCTACGGCTCCTCGAATTGTTCTTCCGTTGCGGTTTCGTCCCTTTGGCATCCGGGCAGGACGGTTGCTCCGATCCAGTCCACGGAGTCGTGGTCGTTCGTTCCTCGTTGAAGGCAGGCGAGAACGTTCTTCTTTGCTTCGGTTCACTCGCGTTTTCGCGCGATTCCGGGCAACCGGAGAATTCCTTGGATTCTTTGGAATCGTTAGCACCGATGCGATTCTTCAAATTTTTACATCGTCGCCTCGACACTGCGTTACCGCCTTTGCCCTTGTCTTCTTCCTGGTGCACGTCCTCGTGCTCCTTTTCCTCTCCTTCTTTCTCCGCAGTGCGACGAATCGCTACAGCGTTCTCGTCTTGGTCCACGTTTTCATCGTCGTCATCGTCGTCGCCGTCGCCGTCGCCGTCGTCGTCGTCGTCGTCGTCGTCGTCATCGTCGACATTCTTGTAAGCGTTTAATCGAAAAGAACCGATTCGTTTTACACCATTGCTTCCACGAATCGGCATCGATGTTCTCGGGTAATCGATGGAGCGGTCGAAATTTTGCACTCGATCTTCCGTATCTTCGTTCGCTTCTGGTAGATACATAACGTGACCGCCCGGTGTAAGGTAGGAGAAAGACGGTGGTTTCATGATGACCGGAAAATCGTTCCCTTTGACTTTTTCGCCGCGTTCGATCGCGTCGTTGGCGCGTGACACTTGCTCCTCGTCCTCGTGCTCCGGCACATCGACATCCACGGCATTATCGACATCGGGGTCGTTGTCCACCTCATCGTCGTCGTCGTCGTCGTCGTCGTCATCGTCCTCGTCGTCCTCGTCGTCCTCGTCGTCGTCGTCGTCGTCGTCGTCGTCGTCGTCGTCGTCGTCGTCGTCGTCGTCATCCTCGAGTTCGACACGCTCGTCACCGTCGTCGCTAGCGAGCTGACGTCGTACGCGACGACCGACGCGACGACGATCGTCTCGAGAAGGGAACGGTCGCCAAACGGAGGGCGAGACACGCGACGTTTCGATACGAACGCGATTGTGCTGCAACGAAGTCGGCGCGCTGGTGGATAACAACCAGTTGTCGTCGAGAACGTCGCGGGTGGACTTTTTCTGATGATCGTGCGTGCCGATACCGAAGGCTCCCGATACCGATCGCTTGAGCTTCTGGAGCGAATTAAACGCGGACGCTTCCCTGGCCTTGGGTTCCGGAGCACAGAGACACAACGTTCTGGCTTCGTCTCTCGGCAACGAAAGGGAGAAGACGTGACCTCGGGGAGAATGATACTTCAACGGGGTGGGTAGAGGTGGCGGCGAGTCAACTCCCGCGTCGCTGCTCGATTCCTCTCCGAGATCTTGCTGCGGTGTCCAAGTAGGCCTCGTCACGGTCGTTTTCATTCGGTTGATCGTACTTACGTCGAGGGAATCTTCGTTCGCGGCACCCGCATCCCCCGATATGCCGGAATCTCCGGACTTGTCGTGCCAGCTTCGAGGTCCCAACGAGAGCGGGAAAGGTGGCGGTGGTCTCGACAAACGTTCTATTCGTTCCTCGAACATCACCTGAAAGATAGAGGAACGCGCGAAGAGACGTTTTCATCGGATCACGAGGAATCGCGGAACGGCGTTTAAGATAGGAATTACGAACCGGCATCTCCTCGCTGGCAGTGCTCATACTAGGGCCCGGCGTTTCCAACGCCGAGAGCAATCTCCAGGCAGCCGACGGCGAGAACCGCGGTATCTCCAGTTGCTTCTTCGGCAGGGTCGGTCGCAGTTTCAACGAGATATTCTCCACGACGCTTCTTTCCTGAAAGAACGTCGGTTGGTTGGTCGGCGGATCGTGCATGAGCGAGAACAGAGAAAGGAATAATCGACGACGACTCACGTTATCGTCCGTGTCGGTGGCGGTGGCGTGAACGACGGAAAGTCTACCGTCGCCACGGTCACGAAACTTGGAATCGACGTCGAGCTCCTTCCCCGTATCCTGGTCCTCCTCGTTGCGAGACTTGGTCACGGTCAAGCACTCGTTCATGCCGAAATAAAACGTCTTCGGAGCGGATTGTTGCTGCGTGGTCGCGGCAAATCTGGCAATCGAGAAGAAAGATGAATCGGATGGCGCGACATCGCGTCGAAGCGAACGGGAATAAACGGGAATAAACGGGAATAAACGGGAATAAACGGGAATAAACGGGAATAAACGGGAATAAACTTACCGCGGCTGGTCGTGTTCTCCGACGGATAGCTCGTTCGGGACCGAGTTGCTCGTCTCTTCGACGTATTCGTTGCCTCGGGATTCCGCGTCGGATTTCTCCGTTACCGCGGTATCGGTCCACTTGCGATCGAGCGGCTGCTTCACGGTAGAGACCTTGGATCGACGCTCGTTCCATCCTCCAGGATTCGAGTTGTCCGCGTTTCCGAGTCGCCGACGCTCGTTCGACTCGACGCCGTCGAGGGGTCGGGCAGCGCGAACCCCGTCTTTCGCCGAACGATCCGGTTTACCGATCCCATCGCGATCAACGGCGTCCTCGCGACTTCCGCCAGCGTCGGCTGGATAGGAATTACCCGCTCGTTCCACGGATCGATCACCCCGACGACCGCCACTCCTCTCGCAATCGTTCACGATCTGATTCCGTCGACGACTCGGACGTCGCGCAAACCCGTTGGTTTCCGCGTCGAATCTGTCGCATCGGCGATCGTGCGTCGCTTCGTCGACCGTTTTTCCGCTCGCGTCCAACTTGTCGCGAACGCTCTTGGCCACTCGGATCAACTCCGCTTGAAACTCCGGACTGCTCATGCTTCTTTGGAGCGTGTTCTTTCCGTGATCGGGTAGCTTCGAACGACGCCGAAGTTGATCGACGTTGGAACATCGAACTCGATCGCGGTCCCGATCGCGGTCCCGATCGCGGTCCCGATCGTGATCCCGATCGTGTCTGTCGACGGCCGGTTGGCTGGCAATCGCGTGGTCGACGCGTTGTTCCGTTTTCCGAGGAGAAGGAACAACGTCGGTCCAACGAGTGGTGGATTCGCGTTGCTCGAGCCGTGGCTGTTCGCGATCATGGTCCGGCAGAGGCGACGACAATTGCCAACTGATCTGAGCCTTTTTCGACTCGGCGCGAGTCTTGAACAGCCGAGATCTCCGCGGAGGCGGCAAAACTCGATAACGATGATGGTGCTGCTGGTGGTCGAATTGAGAATGCGGATAGAGACGAGTGTCGAATTCTCGCGTGGAACGATCATCGCCGACGCCGCTGGGCAACGTTTCGTCGACGAGATTCGAAGCAGCGGATGCCGGTGGCGGAGCCGGGGCTTTGTACTTTTTCCTAGCCTTGTATCCGTTCTCCAGCCGTTCCTTCGACTGTTTGCCGTAACGGAGACAACCGGAAGCTGGGGTACGCGTCTCCTGCCTGTTGCTCGAGTTGCCCGTTGTAGCTCGGTGGTCCGGGACGGAGGAACAAACGAGGTCGGGGGAGTAACGAAGATCGGGCTCGCTACCGAATCTTTTCAGATCGTTGCCGCAATTAGGAATCCCGTCCGACTGAGGCGTGGAGTCGGCGCGATAGCGACAGCAGTGTCTGTCGATCTTTCTCGAACGGGGATGAACGAGGTTGGAGGCGGAACAGCTCCTGTCTCGAAACGTCGGCGGCTCGTTGCGCTGGAAGAGAACGCGGGACGAGACGGTCGGATGAAACGACGGAGGATCGGACCGTGCCGGGCCGTTTCGCGTCTTACTTACGGACAGGCTTTACCTTGGCGAGGTCACGGGACGAGGCGAACGTCGGTGCTCTACGACCGCTGATCGTTCCGCCGTTGTGTATGATGCTTCCGTTGTCGGTGGCGCGTAGCCTCTGATTCGGTGGCTCGGGAAGAACCTTGCGAGCAGCGGTCGGTTGCGACCGATGCCTGGTCAGCTCTCGAGGGAACGATTGGGACCAGCCGCGATTCGTTCCCTCCGCCATCGCCGCCGTCGTCGTCGTCGTCGTCGTCGTCGTCGTCGTCGGCCCGTTCGAGCACACGGACGACGCCTGATGCTGATCCCGCGAACTGCTTCCATTGTTGCCCATCTCGACGATCCTGCCACGACGTCCTCGCTACGGCTACGAGAATCGCCACCGATCCTCCATATCGTTCGCGCCTCCGTCGCACTGCCAACACCGACGTCACGCCTCCTGAAAACAGTTCACCGTTTGACCCCATCCGTTTTCTCTCCATCCTCGTCGCTCTCGGCGTTTCTCAACGCGAGTCGAGAGGGAACAGAGGGAACAGAGTGTACCGAGCGAACCGAAGCGAAGGCCATAACCACGCTCGATTCCAGCGATAACGGTTTTGCCTAACGGGTTCGAATCGGTGCGAGAGACTCGATAAATCGACGAACCACCGGATCGAGCGTGTCCGCGTCACCCGTTTTCTTCCAGATCGACGAGCTCGATGAACGCGCGAACGTGGACAACGACGAGGAGTAAATTCGTAAGCGAACCGCGTTCGTGGGATCGGCTGTGGACGTTGTTGCGTAAAATCGAAGAGAAAGTTGGATCGGAAGGTCGTCGGGGATTTTTTGCCGATCTGGAAAACGTCGAGACTCGGTTCGATAACGATCGCGAAATCGGACGCGACAGCGCGCGTGCACGGACCTCGTACAGCGTACCTCGATGAGAAAAAGAGAGAAAGAGATGAAATCGGATCGAGGTCGCGGTCCACGCGCGAAAAAGAAAGTCTTCCCGGAGAACGCGGACAAGTTCGATCCGGTATATCCGGTGAGAGCGGACGAGCCACGGTAACTGTCAGCTTCTTCTCGCCCGCGTTCTCTCTTCGCTTTCGAAGTCGCGAACGCGTTCCATGACCGAAATTTCGCCAACGAGTACGTAAACGAAGGAATCCGCGGGAGGAATGCGAAAGTCGGGAACGGAAACGTGCACTGGATCGGCCGCGTCTACGTTCTCACGCGGTGATTTCCTAGGCGAAAGAAACAGACGGAGGAGAAGCGACGGATCGTGGATTCGGAATCTGGAATCTTGAATCGATCTCGAGCATCGATGGATCTTTCTCTCCCGTAACGGTTCCAACGCCTCGTGCCACGTATACCGTATGCCGTAATCCACGCTACGATTTCCGTATTTGCTCGTGGCTTCCTGTTCCGTTCGTATCGCGGCCATCATTGGAGGATAGGGGAGAGCCGGGCAGTCGGATCGTCGCGTTGCTCGTTTCTCGCTAGTTACGCGCGATCGTCGGTTTCTTATCGAGAGGTGGCAGCAAAGAGATAGAGGATGCAGAGGACGAAGAGAAGGGAAAGCAAAAGCGTCGAATGTTATTCGAGAACGAAGGCGAGTTCCACGGAAGGAGAGCGAACGAAACGTATAACCGGTTATCGTTTAACTGCTCGGCCGTTGTTAGGTCTCGTCGTTTGCTCGCGCGGTCAACCTATCTAGTACCAAGCCGCGTTCCCGCGCAAATACGCGCGTACACGCGTTACGCGTTACGCGTTCCGCGTTCGACGGATCGGAACGCGCGGATGGACCGCCGTTGTCTCCCTTCACCGTCAATTTCTCTCCATCGATCCTTCCTCTTTCGCGGGCTTCTCGTTCTCGGCGAGAAGGAAAAGAAAGAAAGAAGGAAAGAGAAAAAAAGGAAAAAGGTGGATTTGCGATTATCGCGAGCGTGTCTGGTCGCGACGCGACTATAAACGGAAAAGAGAGGAGGGGAAAGGTTTAGCGTGGTGGCGGAAGTAGGAGAAGGAGAAGAAGGATGAGGCGATAGCGGCGAGGGGCGTATAGGGGTCGGAGGAAGGTAGAAGAGAACGGCAGGATATCGAGAACGAGTACGGATGGGTTTTATTTGCGAGGCATCTAGGTCAGTCACAGTCGCGCAAGTGCACTGTGCCGCACCTATTCCGTTCGCACCTGTGCGCATGCGTGTTGGCTAGCAGCAGCGGCGCAAAAACACCTCGGATCGGCGACCGACCGACCGACCGACCGACCGATCCATCCATCCATCCATCCATCCATCCATCGATAGACCCATCGATAGATCGAACGATCGCGCGAAGGAACGAGGCGAACGAGGCAAAGAGAAAAACAGAGGCGAAAGAACGCTAGAAAAGGCGAAAAGAAAACGGCATCGTCGGGAATTATTTTCTCGGCATCGTTTCCCAGGAATTTTGGTATGCGGAAGGAAAGCTACGTAGCAAGGTTCGCGGAGCGATTGAGCGAAAGGTGGAGAAAAGAGAAGGGTCGGAACGGCACGTATGCGTATACGCGTTATCTATGTGATGGTGGTGATGATGATGATGATGATGATGATGATGATGGTGGTGTGGTGAGGTGGTGGCGGTGGTAATGGTGGTGGTGGCACAGCCAAGAGCGGTGTACCGGCAAAGAGAGAGCTAGTTGCGCGTCAAAGTACAAGGAGGGAGGAAAGGGAATGAGGTGGAAGAAGGGATGAGAGAAAGAGAGAGAGAAAGAGAGGGGAGCATCGATGCGAGAATGGAAGAGATCGCGGAAGTTTTCTGATGCGGAGCGGAGATAGATGCGATCGGTAATCGAAGGAGGCGACGGCGGCGTCGGTCGACGCGATGTTCGACGTTCGCTGAATGTTACGCGCGCGAGAAACGAGAAACGGGAGGTAGGGAACCCTTGGATTATTACCATCTGGAACAGCCGCTTTTTCGCGGCGCTCCTTTACCCCGAACCGCGTTACGCGTTGCTACACGCGCCGAAAAACTTTTCTCGTCACCGTGGTTCGTCGTGGTTCTCGCGCGATCGCCGACCTCGTTCCGCGCGCGATACTCGCGTCTCGCGTCTCGTCGGCGAGAAAATGCCACCGAAAATCCGGGTCAATCGCGCGCCCGTACGCGCGATTCTTTCGCGAGACGAAGCGTCCGTTGCGAAACTTCCTGCGCGCGTTGCGCGGCACTCGCGAGGAATCGCGAATGCGTGTACGCGGAGACGGGAACGCGTTTCGTAATCGCGCTTGTTTCTCTTCGTCCAGGCGATATTGTTCGCCAACGAGTATCGATTTTAAACCGAAACGGAGGAAAAGCAACGACGATCGCGATAACGCGGGTCGCGGGGACGACCATGTCCTCGAGGCTGAAGGGCAAATGGCAAGAGCCAGCGGAGAAGTGAAAGCTGCGTTGTTTGCGTAAACGGGAAACGATGCGTTCAAGCTCTCGGTGATTTTCCTTCGTGTTTCCACTCGATTCGATGCATCACCGTATACGTATAATACGCGTAATACGTGTAGGTAAATGGAAGGTGGATGGCTCCGTCCGCTGGGTCGAGAGACGGTGCGAAAATCGCGTAAAGAGTCCGGTCGCACGGCGAATAGGACGAAAGAGAAGCGTAGCGAAGCGGAGCGAGAGGAAAGGAAAGGAAAGGAAAGGAATGGAAACGGAGCGAAATGAACCGCGATCAACCGCGTTGGAGAAACGACGCGTAAGAAAGGAAAAGAAAGGACGCGAGATCCGATAGACGCGGCTGCGCGAGAAATTAACCGCGTTCTCAAGAAAACAACGGGGAAGGAAAAACGAGCGTCGTCGAGTTACGCCGCGAGATTCGTCGCCCGTGAGATACTCTCTCGTTAATTGGAAACCAGCGAGCGAAAGCTTTGCTAATGGCTAACGAATGAAAATTACGGCTATACGCGTTGTCGTATCGCAACGGCGCAAACAAACTCGAACGCGATATGCGCGCGCAAATGGAACAAACTTCTCTCGAGTTTCCAATTTTCCCACCCGTCGATCGCTTTCGCCCTAATTTTCCTTCGTCCATTTGTTCTCGGATAGATGAACGTTATCGTGACGTTGAACCGGTCGAAACCGCCGACCGCTTCGAAACGGGTAAGAGGTTCGGGTCGCGGAAATCTAGAGTGCCGCTGGTCGCGATCTCTCGAATAGAGAAAAGCGTTTCCAACCTACCGGTGAGTTGGAAAGAAAGGAAAAATCGGGTTTGTCCGAAAGCGTAGCGACGAATTAAGGAGAAAAGCAGGAAAGAGAAAACGCGTGTTTGCAGAAACGGTTGGAGCGCGAACAAAGCTGCGCGGTGGTCGTGGTAGCGGCGCATCGAGCGGGAAGCATCTAACGGGGCAACGTCACGGCGCGTTAACCTTCTTCCGATTTCGTCTATTCTTTTCCTACACCACCGACGAAAATCGATCCTGCTATTCTATTCTAAATCGATCGACTAGCAAATTTCTTCCCTTCGATTCTCTTCGCTACTCGTTCCAGCCACGCCGATGTCTCTCTAACGCTTTCGTCTCACCGCGATCCACCGAATTATGCGCATTGTTGTCGGGAACGGGAACAGGGACACGGTTTTTTCCACGAGTATTCTTCCACCATCTACTCGCCATCTACCGTCCACGCGTTTACCTTTCGAAAATTCCTGCTAATAAAACTCCCGACGCGTTTTATAATAGCCATTTTCCAATTTCTCTCGCGTCCCGATCAAATTTCCGCGTGTTCCAAAGCAGGCCATCGATTCTCGAACGATCGTGGAAGAAATTCGTGGAAAGTTCATTCGCGTAAATTTCCACCAACGATTACGCGTTCAATTCCCTTTTCCCTTCTTTTCTAATCCTCTATCGTTCCGATCGAACCATTTTCTTTTCGTCGCGAGTTGTTACGTTTACGTGTGTATACTTGCCTTGATTAGCGTATGTGTGCGTGTATATGACAATGTAGATTAAACGGTAGGTATTATGCACTGTTACGGGTATCTCGATACGATTATACCCTTGGTCCTAGAGCCCCAACTCTCGTTGTACGTTGTAGCACACGCGCATCCCCCCAGCTGTCGAATCTTTCCAATCTTCGATAAATGTCTGGTTGGAATTCGCGACGAACGCGATCTGCCGTCTGTTCGTATATCTCGGATAACGCGTAAACCCTTTTGCCGCGAGATCAAACGTGGCAATAGGAAACGGTAAAGGATGCAGGAAAATCGAGTAGAGAGACGTGAATGAGAGGTGAATGAGAAAGGCACGGGCACGGGCACGGGAACGGGAACGGGAACGGGAACGGGAAGAGCGAGACCCGGGATAAGAAGGAGAGAAAGCGACAAAGGGATGGAGAGAATCTAAGGAAGCAATGGCAAAAGGCGGGAAGAGGAGGAAAGGAAAAGGAAGAAAGAGGAAAAAAGAAGAAGGAGAAAACAAAGAGCGGAATCGTGGAACCGCACAACGCGTTCAGATGGTAAGACGACTCGAAGGAGAGTGCGATCCGCGCGGTCCTTATCCTCGAACGCGACGCGAAATCGGAACTGAGCGACGGTGGCGGCGGCGACGGCGGCCCTCGAATCCCCACCCCTGTGAAAGCTGGTTAAAACCGTTCTCCTACCATCGCTCGTGTTTCATCTATCTACCAACCTGCCTACTACCTCTTCGTCCTTTTCTCTTAACTACGTAACGCATAGCATTGTCCTTCCCCTTACCTCACTTCTCTTCTCTCCGCCTCGCGACTCTTCTCTTCTCTTCTCTTCTCTTCTCTTCTCTTTCCTTACCGCATTCCTTTCAACTTCTATTCCAGTCTGCGATCTGACGTTTCTTAGTTTCGACTAGATATAGTCGTTCCACGTTTCGCCACCTTTTTCCACCAAACGCTCCAATCCTTGCGTCTTCCGACTTTCGTCTTTTCCCGATCACCATCCCCGATCACCATCCCCGATCACCAACCCCGATTACCACCCGTCATTTTTCTCTTTTCTTTCCTTTACCGATTTCTCCAAATCGGCCAGTTGTCCAACGTAAATCGTAAATCGATTAACCTCGATATTTATTTCTTATCGGGAAGGCTTCTACGAATAAACACACAACTCTCCACGATACGTTCTATAAATATGCAGTTTAATCTACCACTGTTTTACACGATCGAGTGAGAAATATTCGCTTACTCGCTACTATTTATAAATATTCGAGAAAACCATTTAAACTATTTGTAAGGTGGCCATGTCCATTGATCAGGCGGAGCTTTCTCCATCAAATTATCCCACGGCTTTTCTTGGGCCAACAGCTCTATCAACGACAATTCGTTTTGCGCTTGGATCACTAATTCTCCGAGCTGCCCCTGATTTATTTTTTCTTCTATAACGTCCAAGTTTTCATTCTGTAACATGGAATACGTTGTACTCATTGTTCGGAATTACGTCGTTAGTTGGATTCGAAAAGGAGATATCATTCCAATATTCCTCGTTTAATTCGAGAACCTATCGAAAAATTAAATAAAGCATTTACCTCTTTTACGATCTTCTGCCTTTCCTTTACCAAACTCTCTGTGGTTTTCCTGTAAACATAGTCTTCTGGCAAAGCAGTGATGAACCGTAAAATGCTCTCGTATAATAACGTAAGTTCCATACGAGGATTGTGAAGTACAGGCAAGCCTGTTAATCTTATCTACGAATAAAAAAATATCACCGTTCGTACAAAATTAATCGCAAAATATGGGGAAAACGTTCAAAATGTAGAGCAAAAATATATCGTTATGTCGATGGTATGGTTATGTTTTCAATCCGATGACGAAACGTGTTCGACCACGAAACAATTATTATCGAATACGTTATTAAGAATTTTACCGAATTTTACACACGCATACGCGTATCACCTTTTTCAATGGTCCTGACATTCTTTCACTCCGGCGATTTACTTCGAATAAAAACGCAATTACGCGATCAACTTGCGAATCGACTGAACCTCGAAATTATTACCACGTGATTTCTGTAGTGGTAACACTGCATCACTGCACCACCCTTACCTCGAGAAATAAACTGTCAACGGCGGCACTCGTGTTCAAATGTTCGACTAGAAAATCATGCCTTTTCCTTTCTCTCCTTCTCCTTCTAAATAACTTTTTCGCTTCTCATTTCACTTTCGAACGTCATTAGCTTCCTAACAAACGTAATGCCATTAAAATTCAAATCATTCTACTCGATTCGCTTTCTCTATCATCGCATATCTAGTGCATCCAGGAATAACATTTAGAAAAAAGAAAAATAGGCTAAAGAGCGGGTGGGGAGGAATGTGGCACAAATGTATAACGAGAATCGCTTTAAACGTAAATCATTTATTTTTATGTTCTCACGTGTAAACATATTTATCGGTTAGATTTAGCGACACGTTCGAGTTCGTCCTTCTTTTTAATCGCGTAAGAATTAGACGAACCTTTGGCAGCATTGATGAGTTCATCGGCTAAACATTCGGCAATTGTCTTAATATTACGGAATGCAGCTTCCCTAGCACCGGTGCATAACAACCAAATAGCCTGATTTACTCTTCGTAATGGAGAAACGTCTACCGCCTGCCTTCTAACCGTACCAGCACGGCCAATACGCGTAGAATCTTCTCTTGGTCCTGAGTTAATGATAGCTGTCACGAGAACCTTTTTCAGAGAAATGTGTACATGTTAAACGTAAAGTTAAAAGCATACGCCTTTTCCTTCTAATCGTCTCTATTTACTACACTACGTAACTGTCCAAAGAATGTTATAATAAAGTATAAATTACCTGCAAGGGATTGTCACCCGTAAGCAGGTGAATTATTTCAAATGCGTGTTTTACAATCCTTACTGCCATTAACTTTTTCCCATTGTTTCTACCGTGCATCATTAAAGAATTTGTAAGACGTTCGACGATGGGACACTGAGCTTTTCGAAATCGTTTCGCAGCATAACGTCCAGCAGAATGTGGCAGATACTTTGCATTTTTCTCTTTCACAGCGATATAGTCCTGCAACGACATATCATTCACTTGCACGTCGTCACAATTCCAACGACCAAATAATTTGATTTCTGGTAATTCTGCGGAAAGTGCAACTGGTAATGTTGTGGTGGGTACCACTATATCGTCGTACGTTTCCATGTCAGCCATGATTTACCTGTAAGATAAAAATTATTACTATTCATTCTACATTCTGATCATTCGGTAAGGGAAAACATTCGATAACACTAGTTAACAATTAAGTTAAATGAATATCGGTATCTTTAGTTCATATTGCTATTAAACTATTTTTGGAGCGTATGTTTGTTTATGTATAATAAATACAGAGGAAATAACGTAACGTTACAAATTGTCACATGCTGCGGATTACGTTGAGCACTATAAAGAAAATACGTAAAGATTGCCGGATAGATCGATGTAAAAAATATAAAAAATATAAAAAATATAAAAAAATCTAAAACGTTTCAAGGATATTTCTTTTTCTGACAGATTCAAACATCGCAAGCAATATTTATCCGCGTCAGATGCTAATCAACGTAGCACAATGCTAAAACAAAGAAAAAGGAAAACAAAAGAAAAAAAAAAAAAGAAAAAATAGCATAAAATATGCATAAACATAGCTTAGTTAAAAGGCAAAGTTTGACAGAAATTGTAATATTTCTAAACACTTGTTACAATATATACGTTTAACACAATTTCTTTTTAACTTAACATTTTTATCGTTTTTGCAACGTTATTCACAAAACACCACACTTTGTTGATATAAAATGTATACGAATATCGTAAAGACATGTGACCATGTGGCCGCGTGTAAAATCGAAACACTGTTAACTGGTCAATCGTAGAATGTTCCGTACGTTTTTCACCTTCGACTATATTTCGTACGTTCTCAATGTCTTGATATCACTCTTTCTTACAAGCCTGGTCAAATAAATACATCGAACTTTTCGAATTCCTTACCATATAACTTTTGTTCACGTCTTCCCTAGAGTAAGCGTGAACAGGAAAAGGCCATGACACTAGTGGCGCTTCGACCTGTGACTACCGGATTTTGCAAACTCTAGTCAATTCCGAGACACGATATAAGAATCTTCGATTTTTTTGTTATACGTGTCGGTAAAATAACGAAGATTGCTTTTGCGTATAATTAATTTGCATCGTTTGCTCGATCAACGAATTCTCTATCGCATCAAAAAAGCGACAAAAATTTTCGTTCCTACGGTTGTTAATTTGATCACGAAGTGTTTACAGCAGTACTGTAAACGCACAAGCGGAGACGATTGGTTCGTGAGTTGCCATTTTGAGCGTGTATTTATGAGTAATTCTGCTTAAATTACATATTATCGTTGAATTTTCGTGGTATTTCATTCGGTTGTCATAATCCTTTAAAAGTGCGGGTGTGAAACAATTCATTTTAGTGTACGACAAAGTGTTTGGTTTCGTGTTTGGGGTTAGTACCGGTTGCCGAGTAAACCGGTACATGTCGAATAGATAAGTTCGCGTCAACTACGAAAGATGTCACTACTAAAAAATCTGGAACAACTTCCGGTCTTTAGAAGAAAACGGTAAGTGTTATTTGTATTTTTATATTCGTTCCTAATTCACCTGAATGATTCTACGTGTTGATAATAAATAAATTTGATCGCTTCCGAGATTATAGATATATCGTGTAATGGTGTTGCACGACGTATCGATGTTTTTATGAAGTGCAGTTGCCTGAGTAGGTAGTGAAATGTATAATGTACGATATACATGGGAAAACAAACAAGAAATATATCGCGATAAAAGTGAAACGTCGAATACGTAAATTCAAGCATCTTCCGGATTATTTCTTCGATTACGAGAGTATGTAATCTTATGAAAGCGGTTACAGTTTCTCTCTACAGTTTTCAGTCGATACGTGTCTCTTATTTAACCGAGACAAATGTCGGGAATAATTGTTAGTTGTATACATTGGTTAATCTATATACGTAAATGGAAAGTTTGTCGTTAACCGGAAGAAACAGTAGAGAAGTTCCGTCCAGGTCATTGTCAAATTTGTTAGAACACGATTGGCGTAGAAATAAATTTATCGATACGATTTTATATGCGTTTAAAGTTAGCTTTTGTAGCATGCTTAGTTTTGCTAGTTTAGTTTCGCTTTACAGTCTGTGTCGTTAAGAATGATTTTCGTGATTGACGAAAAGCGTTTATTGGATAGAGCCAATCGTTAATATAGGGTTAACACGGTACACGCGAACAATCGTTTAAAGTTTCGAGATCGAGGGACAGGCGAGACTACTAAATCAGAACCATATACAATTTTGTTGGATTTATGTCTGCGTCTAGTTCAGTTGGTTGTTGGTGTTTTCTTTACAATAGAAGCAACGCGTTGAAAAGTAGAAGGGCACCGATAGCCGAATCGTGGGAGGGTTCGAACATGGGGTGTATCCTAGCAACTTACCGAACCGCTAGAGGGTAGTCGTTCAGTAACGTAGCTACAGATTTTCCTACCTGCTGTATTGACCATTTTATGGACATATTCTACAGTTACTTTCTTTCCTTTTTTTCAATGCGTTATACAGATTGTTCGATCATCAACTATATCGATGCTCTTTATCTTCACCACGCTTATCGCGTACTAAATGCATGGGTACAAAAAGGATAGCGAAGAGAGACTTTTAATTTGTTTCCGCGCGTATGCGTATGCATGCGCGCACACACACGCAATCGCAGGGAGTTGAGATGACGCGAGATAAAATTGTAAATAGTAAATCGCGCGGAAAAGAGAAATTTATGAAGCGACAAATGTAAACGGAATATTCGGAACTGTCGAAATAAGGCCAAGAGTACATTACGATTAAATAAAACGATCGTCCTATCAGCTGTTGTCCCGTAACGAATAGCTAATGACTTTATAGATTTTATATTGACCAATTTATCGGATGATGATTCATCGAGTAACGATGTGTAAAAGCTTGCGTAGGTTGGAGTAGTTGCCGCGTAAATATAACTAACGATAATATTAAAAAAGAAGAAACGCGCGCGATGAAACTGTGTTTATCCGCGACAGTATGTAATCTGCGCGGGGCAACTGTTGGTATTTTTGCACGATTTCAAAACGGGGTACACAATTTCACATGTGGACATCGAACTGCATACTTTTGGTTTTCTTCGTATTCGTCTTTGTCCATACGAGTTGACGCGCTGAAATCGAGAACAGAGGGGATTCTGTTGAATACGCGTATCAAGAAGCGTAGCAAAGAATAGGGAAAAAGAAGCAGCGCGATAAAAATATAAGAAAGAAACGCGCGACGATGAAAACGTAGGAATCGTATCGCTGGAATGCTCGGTACAAAAGGAAAACGTTAAGTACATTTTGGACGTTTGTATAGAGCAATTAGTATTTACAAAGAGAGGGTAGTCGAGGTAGAAAGTAAGTTTGGAACGCAGGGGGAGATTGAACTGGAGCAACGGCAATGAAAGTAGGAAATCGGTGTAGAGAGGTAGAGGGCAGATAGATAGGTAGAAGGCGTGCGAGAGAGAGAGGAGTGAAAAGCGTAGCGTGCAAGGGGGTTGACGAGACCACATGCTGCGAATACTCTTCTCGCGTACTGTCCCCTATCTTTCCCTCTAGTCTCGCTCTCTTTCCTTCCCCCCTCTGTGCTTCATGCTCCACGTTCCCTTTTCCTTCGCATCCCCCTCGCCTATTGCTGTTCGTCCTTTCTTCTTTCCACTTCTCCGCACACAGTGTCACAGCCCCTTCCGATCAACTCTCCGACGCTTCGACCAGGCTTCTGCAACGCCCCACTAACGCGCTCAACCTTCCTCCCATTTTTTCAATCACACTTTTCATCTTTCTTTTCCTTTCTTTTTCCTTCTTCTTCCTTTTCCTTCCTTTTCCTTCCTTTTCCTTCCTTTTTCTCTTTCTCCCCTCGGACAAGTTGTAATTTCTAGTCTCGTCGTGTTTCTACGCGTCCTACGTAAGTTTATCCGAAAATTAACCGTAATTAAGCGTAGTACGTGGTATATATTAAACAGTTGATCTCGGCTTTGTATCGCGACGAAATAATCACCGAAGGATCACGAGAGCCACCGTTTCGTGTAGCGTGCACGTGTAAGGCGTGCCATGTACACGAATGGACAAAATGTACATTCGTTAGGGAGACTCGCAAAGGAAAAAATGTAACGAGGTATATAACGGTCGAGAGACACAGCGAGAAAGAAACTGGAGGATGAGAGAGACAGGGAAGATGAGGAAACTTTCGATGGTAGTAAATATTCGATGTCGAGAGAGTTCTTGATCGTTGAAATTCGTCAAATTGTAAATTGATCAATTGTAAATGAATATTGCGGAAAGTAAAAAGAGCAAGCTTATGTGTACGCATGTGGGAGAGGTCGGGGGTGTGGGGGAGAATAGAATAAATTTTATTTTAACAAAGATACGACGAAACACGCACGCGAACAAGCAGATCGATGAAATGTCGGTTAGGTTAGGTGATTGGAGGAAAGAAAATTTTTGGAACGAAAACGATTGCATGGAGAAATTCTACATTATAGCATCCAGGAGGATCGACAAGGCCACGCCCATCCGGATATCGATTCGTTGACAACGTTGCTTTTCGCTTGTGACTCGGACATACCAAACTTGGAACACCGAACATTGTCATCCTCTCTAATTGTTTCCTTTCGTTTCTTTCCTTTTCTTTTCTTTCCTTTTCTTTCCCTTCCTTTTCTTTCCTTTTCTTTCCACCCTAACCTGGCTTTTTCTTCGCCCGTAAAGATTTCTCGGGAATCGACGGTAAAGAGGAGAGGAGGGTAAGGGAAACGAAAGAAGTAAGATGTAAGAGACGAGAGCGAAAGTTAAACGAGCGAATATCGAAGAAAGATTTGCCTCGACTCGTGTGTGCTTTTTGGATGATACTCGAGAACGGGAATCGTTTCATCGAAGGTCGTTCGATATCGATCGTTGTCGCGATATCGATCTCGTCTGACAAAAATAGCAATATCAACCGATTTCGAGCTTCCGTGCTCTTTTCGATTCTGACCAACGCGATTAACGAGCAAACGGATTTTATTTCACCGAGCGATATCATTTTCTTTCGCGTGCTATGATTCCTTCGTTTTGCTCCCTTTCGTTGCATTTCATCATTGACGCTTCAGAAACGAGTAACCGCCGAAAGAGGTTACACGCGAGGCAGGCAGAAGGGAAAGAAAATGGAACAGGGGATAAGAAACACGACCAAGGGATGAAAGTCATTGTCTAAAAAAGTCCTATAACTCGTTATTATTGCTTTAGCGATTATTTTCCTTCTTTTCTCGCCCCCCCCCCTTCCCCCTGTATTTTATAGGTTTTTAGAGAATTTTCTTATATTTTATCGAGCAATTAAAGTATCGGTCTTATTTGCTGCTATGCGTACTTTGGATCGAATCGATGTGCATCGTAAAAAAGTACCGTTGTCATTTGTTTCGCTGCTCGTCGTATTTATGATACATCGAGCTCGAGTTGTATAAATACGTAGATGCGCGTGGTTATTATTTACCGAGATGTAATAAAAATATCATTTGGTTCTTTAGAGGATTAACGCGAATTACAGCTTTCTGCATACGTAATGTTCTTCGATAACATCCTGACTCGTACTAGGAAGGGAAATTTAATTAAATCGTCTCGAGATAAAATACCTTTATAAGCGTACGATGGTAGTATGGACGATTCCGAATTCGTTTTATTGAATCGTGAGAATAGCAAAGAGCGAAATTCTCGTGGAAAATGTAATTGCTCGTTTAAAAATTACATTATCGGAGGAATTTTTGTGTTAGGATTGTCTGGGTAGCTTCAAAAGGTCAAGTTCTTCTAAAGCTATCGTTAATGAAACGGGGAAACTGCTACGTCCGTTTGCTCTTAGCCACGAACCACGTCGTACGGTTCATTATGGGAACTAAGAATTGTCGACGAGAAAGAGATGG